GGGTATCGGTTGATGAACTCTAAGAACAACACAACAAGGGAACTCGAGCTAGAGCAACCAATACTACGACCCTAGGACAATAACAATAAGCGCACTACCTGCACTTAAGTTCTGTACGAATACACAGACTTAGCAGCACAGTAATCGATATTGGGCTCATTCGCTATACTGAGGAAGGCGAAGGTTTACAAGTCAACAAGGGTACAGACAATCTGGACCCACAACACGTGAGGCTCTGTGTGCTCGCCCACGTGTCACGTGCACGCACGAGCAAGTGTGACGCCGAACCTACCCCTTATCGAATCTCTTCCTGAGATTCTCCTTCGTCTCTCTATTACATCGATACTTTTATCTTACTTCTACCTTGGGTTTGGGTTGCTGTCAGCTCGGTATTATGGACGACGATAGTGAGATCATACATCTGACTGAATGATTCACTGATAGATTCAGTCTGAATCTATCAGTAAATATCCGAACTGTCAGTAAGATTGCACGAAAAGTGCATGAATGGCGCAGAACGACGGCTTCGCTGAAGCCAGCTACGATGGCCTTAGGTGCTCTCAAGACAGCAGTTATGGACTGATTCTGTCTTTGATGGTAGCCTTCACTTGGGTAACAGTTTGGGTTTTACCGTGAACAAAAAGACAACAGAATAGCTAAACTCAAAATCGATCATTATCAAAATTATTTGGGAGTCAACTTGATAAAAAAACACCTCTCGCAGGGCGGAATCCTAATGTGAGCAGGCAACTTGATGCCTTGAGTGTGACTCACACTGTGTGAGACTACAGTGGCAGATCAGTTACGGTGGACCCGCCTCAAGACTTGAGAGAAGGAATGCACTAGAATTGGGTTCAGGATAGGCGTGTGCAACATGATATTATCGTGTTGGTGTCACACGTGATGAGGGAATAGGGGTATCCACGGTGGATTATCATAATCCACCAGTGGGGATGTAGATAATCCTTCCTGACCATTCCTCTTTCCGCCTTGACGAGTACTAAGTTAGTACTACTAACACCAGTCTTGACCATTGTGATACTGATATCTTGTATATTGAGAAGGGGTTGTGGTCCACAATAGACCGATGAGAGACGGTCAAAGAAAGTCTGAACTTATAACCATAGCTATGAGTACGATCGATAGTCTTGCGACTTCTCAATGGCTCACGATAGTGACAATATTGAATCGTGGATTTGGGCCATAGCGTCTTAGTTCTGGAGTGATTTCCATAGGTCAGATCCAAATAGTGCGAAATAGAAGCAAGAGGTCTCGGCTAAGGGTACTCAAAATGATTCTGACAGAATCTGAGTCTCAGATGTATGACATGATGTCATTGACGTCAGGGCATGGGTTCGGACATTGAGTCTTATATCGTGAGATTAGCGATAACGAGGCTAGATTCTAGCCATTTGAGAGACTTAGGGCTTTAGAAGAAGGGCACTATAGTGCATGACATATTATAGGGATGGGGACTCCCCATTGGGACTCCCCACTGGAGAGTCTCCAGAGCTCCCCATTGGGGAGCTTTCGAGGGAAGAGCAAAGTCTGGCTGGCTGACACAGAATTGAAATGTGAAGTGTGTCGGGTTAAACGGTACCTGTTTCGTGATTGCAAATCGAATATGGGGATGAGAGCACTTACGTGCATGACATATTGTAGGGACGAGAAGCTCTCGGAGGGTGAGCGGGGTCTGTTTGACAGACATGAGGTTGAAAAGTGAAGCGTGAGACTATAGTGGGATATCCTCCCATGGTGGACTCGCCTTCACAAGGGGGAAATTCGAGCCAGCAAAGTGCGAGTCGGGTTAAACGATATCTGTCTCGAGGATAAGGTAGGAAGAAACTCTCAAAGGGAAGGATTCACTCCGAGTGACTCACTCGGAGTGAGGGTCCGTCCGATTTAACTGGATCATGAACTCATCATGTGAAACATGTTGTTTAGAGATTGAGTAAAGTTGAGGTAATGCACGGATATGATACATTTCGACGGCTGTATTGGGTAGAATACCCTCATCCAGGGACCAAGCTCAATTCTTAGATGTCCATGCTGAGACACGCCAAGAACCAGCCAGACCCGATAGTCAAGCAAGCGGAGATGATGCTTCTATCGAGACGTGCTAACGAAGCTATACAGTTGTTGGTCGCTAATAGGAAGATATACAGGGCGATCAAATTGTATAAATGAATGATATCAACTCAACACCCCTACGTATTTCAGCAACATCTGGCTGCATCGTTGGGAGGCCGCTCTGGACCTCGCCGTTCAGCACCGTACTCATGTCGATACTGTCTTAGCCTACCGCATGAGGCATTTGGAGGCGATGAAACACTCGGAAAATAATGAGAAGTTCAAAAGATACGACTAGAAGTTCCCGTAGTCAAGTGCCCCCAGTGTCTCATCTAAGAGAGCTCTCATGTCTGCGGATCTCAGGTCGACTGGCAGTCAGTGAAGGCCAAAATCGCACGGGAGAAAGCGGAAGAGAGGAACAATGGAGTCGATACGCCAGTGACCCAGTCGAAGGCCGCACTTCCACTCGAGATTCCCGACTCCCCAAGGGTGAATGTCGATCCCGGCATGTGAGCATCGCACATGTATGGATCCACCCTGTGAACTTCTTCCAATGCGGCAATTGTCTTGTGTTGGAGAGTATGTCCTTGCCACACGTGGACATCCTTCCAGAAACTCAGAAGACGTCAAAATTTAACCCACTATGCTCACACTCGTGGCAACGGGGAGGGTGAGCGCCCATAGGATAGAACGTTCTAGTGTGTGCTCAATAGATGTCCGGATTTTGGACTGCAAAGCCCCTTAATGCTGTACCAGTAGCACTGGGGATAAAACGATAATGTTGCTACAAGAGACATAACTATGAATCATAGTCCATGACAAACCTCCCTTACGAACTACGGTTTAACCTCACTCGAACTCAAAGCCTTACACATACCAAGTTGAGTAGAAGGAAGAAACGAGCCACACAGCAGAGCATAATGCTCAGATAGGCAACCAAAGGTCGCACAGATGAAAGCTGGAAGACGCCAGCTGCGCATGACCATACCGTGCAATCCACACGGCGTTCACACTAGGAACCTCTCGGAAAAAAAAGTACAGCCAGTAGTATTTCATCAACTTAGACGAAAGAAAAGGTGATAGACAGCTCTGAGAGGAGCAAAGCAGACAACAAGCGCAGGAAAGAGCACTTCAGTAACCGTGATGATAATGACGACCATTATCAGGCTCAACACTCGTCATGATACATACTTGTCGAGACATTCGGCTCCCAATACAAGTGGAAGCTATCACTAGATCGACGATACGTGATGGTAAGTTTCTGACGAAGCTGATCGGTGGTCAGACCCAACTCTCGGGCTAAACGCTCCATCTGCCAACTTGAGTAATCGGGCACGAACTCCTCGCAGTCGTACAGATGGAAGGGGACTTCCTTCAGGTTAACCTTTACCCCATGAATATATCGGTAATCGAAAAAGAACACGTCTCCTTCGATGAGGAATAGAGCCATTTCGCCATTGATGTTGCCACAATACTCACCAGCAGGCATACCTGGACAGTACTCATGGTCACCTCCAGAATGAGGAGTAGTAGGGTGGAAGTTATGCCCTGTCGTCACCACAGCACCATTACCACATCTCACACTCGAGCCTTGACATACTGGTAATGCATCCCAGATCTTGCAATATGAAGTGGGTCCCACTTCCTTCTGACAATATTCATCCCAGTTAACCGTTCCACCACTAGTCGTAAACACTGCAGCCGAACGTGTCGTAGTCACTGGAACAGTAGTCTTATCACCAGCAGCTCGGGTAGTTTCCGGAATAGTAGAAGTGGCAATTTCACCGTCACCACAGCTTACATCAGATCCTTGACAAACTGGAAACCGGTCCCACGTTTTACAATAAGATGCCGCACCAACCTTGTCACGACAGTAGTCATCCCAGTTCGTAACAAGCATGGTTTGAACACCGGTTGTACCACTCGACATGCTAACATCCGAGTCTACAACATCAGTATCAGCCTGGCGTCGTCCAAGTACACTGTTGATGATCGCGGACTCGGTACAGCTATTGAGACTACCGTGGCAGATTGAATGGTCACAATAGGAATCAGGACCAACAAATCTCCGGCAATAGTCATCTTGAACAGATGACGAGAAACAGGAGGTAACCGAAGCAGAAACCACTGATAGCACGATCCACTTGTGAGCGAAAATAGACATGAAAGAGCGTAGAAGAACTACAACGCTAGTTGAGCTGATCAAACTAGGAAATGAACCCCACTCTACACCATGTCTTGGTTTGGAAATGTAGACAATCGCGTTGTTACCAGCTAAGATTCTGTGTCTAGCTCGCTACGGGGCGACAACCGAAATGCCACTCCGGTTCATGCTTATCGCAAATTGAAACAAGTACGATCAGCCTGACTGACTTCCACCTGTTCCTCTGTGATAATCCGATGTGCATATAATAATGTTGCAGTTTGCGTTGATACGTTAGCTCAGCTTCATCTCGTTTGTGGCGTGATGCCCCCCACATATGCCAAGTCCGTATAGCACAGGACACGTGGAAGACCTAGGACACAGAAATTCCGGTCTCGCAATCTTTGTGACTCCGAGTCACTGACTCGCACACTAATTGCATTATTCTCATACTGGTAACCTCGCAGGGGGCCGCGCACAACCTTCGGCTCAGAAATCCATCGCTTTACCACTGCGCTAGACTGGAGGGGAATCAGGACGAGAGGGAGAGGAGAGAAACTAAAAGGAGGGGGAACTGGGAGGAAGGGGAAGAGGAAAAAATAGTGAAGAGGGGACGATGGAGCCCTCATCTTCGGATTTGTTAGATTTATATAAAGGCCAAAGGTGATGCTCTACATGTAGAGAAGGCATCGTCATCTAACAGTAGCACGCTTGAAGGCAGTCACTCGTCTACAGATCCTCCACCCCAGCTTGGAGTCTCCGATCTTGAGCTCTTTGGGGTCCTCTCCACATCATCATCATCATCCGGCGAGGCGAACTACAATGACTCAGAGAGGGCCTCTAACAGATTGTTCTCTTCAGCAGCACCATAGTCTACGAATGAGTCAGCTGTAGCCGTCTTGACCTCCTCATCCCTCTCCACCGCCTTTTCCACCCGATTTGAGCTCATCTCCAGACGAGGGTTTTCGTGCGATACTTCATGATGTTATTCGATCTCGTCCTCTCCTGGCAGAGCCCCTGCACTGTCCAACTCACGATCCTGCATTTCATCTCCCATCCCCGCCATCTCGCGAGTTCCCTCTTGCGTCGCTTCGACAAACGGCGGCTCAACCTCTAGCATCGATAGTTCTTCGTCGGTAGATCTCGTTGACGAATGTTCGGAATTCTCTCCGAGGGCCCGGACAGCTTCTGCGACCCCCGCGCCCTCCCAACTGTGCTCTCCACCCGAGTCAGATCTACTCGTCGGTGTACTCGCTTCGGAGATCTCGGGGTCACCGAGCGAAACGACTGACGGCGATGAATCGGACCCTTGTGAATGTGGTGACTGCGCCTAATCGAAATCCCTTCAGTCGAGATAGACTACAGTGCGTTTGCGTTTGATAGGCAAGTCATGAGAAATGACAGAACTCGGGACTCAATGAGCGAATGACAATTAAACTTGAACTTCGGGAGCTCCGGGGAAATCGATTGGTATACCTGTTATGATAGATCTCTCGACCGTTTCGTATCTATAGTGCGCAGAAGATTCTCGCGCACTTTTCAACGTCCGCGTTTGATAAGCAACCTTCCTCTACTTCATTACTATGGGCCGCGGCAAAATCCTAACCGATTCTGAACGTAATATAATCATTCAAGAGCTGGGCAGAGAGGTATCGCTGGTGGAAATCGCCAAAAAAATTGGCAGGGACGAACCATACCTCAGTGCTGCTCTGCTCCATGACCGTCGGCAATGCTGGTCGGCTGTCCACGTCCATCACTCCTAGGGTGACCTGACTTCGCGGCGATTCAAACGAAACCTCATCTCCGACTTCCTTACCCTCCCGCACATATCCCTGTACCGCTGCACACAGGA